CTAGAAACCACGGCTTAAGCAAGAGAAGGATTTTGTTTCTTTGGTATAACAAAAATCCAAAAATAGGTAATTTAGTAGACCTCATATGATTACTCCTTGATCGCATTAGGAACCCAGGCTCATTTCAACCTCAGCTATTTTTAACATGCGCTTTTCACCTGAAATCGTAAGATAGCTCATCTGCCTCCAATAGTGTGTACATGTAACAGACAATAATAAGGAGAAGAGTAGTGGAAAAGGGGGCATGTGCCAAATGAGTCAATCCTCTTTAAAGAGTTCTTCCAGAAGTTCAAGCCAGTGGCCTCAATTGACTAATATTAAATAGCATGACCACCCCTTCCTACACAGGATAGGAAGCTAACTGGACATGTTGTTACTAATAAAAACCAGAGTATGTTAGAAAGAAGGGAAGGTTTGATGTTGGGAGGCAAGTAAGTTTTTTCTTCTACCCATCAAAATCTTTTTAGTTAGAAAATATTTGAATCTAATGTGTCCCACTCCATTATGGCAGCAATACAAATGTTTATGGATACATGGCTTTATGTACTAGGAATAGTCTTGGCCATATTCATTTGATTTCTCCATGTCTAAAAACAGAACAAGCAGATCCAGGAAAACTTTAAAAGCACTTCCCACTCAGCTGCTTGTTAACTGAAAGAATGTAAAAAAGCTACTCAGAAGAGTAGCTGTTCGGGCCAAACTTCCTGATACTAGAGAATTGTTAGCTTTGCACTTTTATTTCCATCTATTGCTGCCTAGATTTCCTTCCTTATTGTACTTCTTTATTCCTTTCCTCTTCTCTGTTCTTGCCTTTCAAATTTTTAGACAGGGTCTCACTGTGTTACCCAGGCTGGAGTGTGGTGGCATGATCACAGCTAACTGCAGCCTCAAATTCCTGGGCTCAAGCAATCCTCTCATCTCAGTCTTTTGAGCAGCTGAGACTATAGGCGTGCACCACCACACCCAGCTAATTTTTTTTATTTTTTGTAGAAATAGGGTCTCACTATGTTGCACAGGCTAGTCTCAAACTCCTGGCTTCAAGCAGTCCTCCCACGTTGGCCCCCCAAAGTGCTAAGTTTACAGCTTGAGCCACAGAATTGAGTTCTTTCAATTTTTTAAATGCCCCAAACTCTTTTTGTTTATCTGTCATTAGAGATCTGTGGGTTCCTTATTACCTGGGAAATGGATGCATTTCCCAGCTTGTCCCTGAGGTATGGGAGTTAATTTAGAAGTTAATTGAAATTGTAAAAGTTGAAACCCTGAAAAAAATGTGGTTATTTTTTTGTTTTGTTTTTTGTTTTTTTTTTTCCTTGTGATACAGGTTGTTTCTTATCTGAAATGCTTGGGACCAGAAGTATTTCAGATTTTTGAATTTCTTTTTTTAAATTTGGGAATATTTGTGTTACACCAGTTGAGCATCCCAGATCTGAAAATCTGAAATCCAAAATGGCCCACTGAGCGTTTCCTTTGAGTGTCATAGTGACGCTCAAAAAGTTTCAGACTTTGGAGCATTTTGAATTTCAGATTTTAGGGTTTGGGATGCTCAACATATAGCAGTATCCTTGATTTGGGAAATAGTAATTATGAAGAATGTGTTTATTTTATATTTTATTTTGATTTAAGTTATTTATTGAGATGTTGCTGGATGTATGCCAATGAATATGACAGAGGTCCTCTTTTTTATGGCCAAGACAGAAAATATTTTACGCTTTATAGGCTACCTGTGCCCCATCAGATTTTCCTCATGGGCTGGATTTAGCCCATCACCATTTTTTAACTCTTGCTTTAGACTATAGTCAGAAAAGCTATTGGCAAATTTTAGCAGTTAGAGTTACATGTCCTGATTTCTGTATTCAAAATGGCACTAAAATAATAGACTAAGGGCGGACAAGACAGAAGCAGAAGAGTTATTAGGTTGTTGCCTAATGTTAGATTCCTGTTTTTGGCTTATTTAACTGGGGCCATTTATAAGAATGGAAGGCTGGGAGAAAACTGATCTGGGAGGGAAAATACATAAATAAGTTCAGTTTTGAAGATGTAACTTATAGATTCCTAAATGTAATTGTCAGTTAGAGTTTAGGAGGCATCCATCACACACACACACAAACTCACACAGATAGGAGTCCATCACATACACACTCTTAGGTAGGTAGGTAGGTAGATAGGTAGATAGATAGATAGATAGATAGATAGATAGATAGATAGATAGATAGAAAGATAGAAATATACATCAGCATATAGGTGACACCTCAAGCCATGGGTTTGTATGATATTTCCTAGGGAGAATAGAGGGCTATAAAGTAAGTCAAAGGGGTAGTCCAACATTCAGAAATGATGTAGCGGAAGAGAAACCAGCTGAAGAGCCTAGAAAGCTTAAGACTATTTAGTGAGTTAATAAAATTAGAGAAGAGTATCATGGAAGCTAAAAGAGAGTGCAAGCCATGCTGTCAAATAAGATAAATATGTAGGAAAAAACAATGGACAGGGCATTATGGATTCTAACAAGAATAGTTTCACTGGAGTAGTATGGGGTAAAAACTATATTGCAGTTTTGCTCTGAAGACCAACAGAGAAATGGTGCTGTAGCAAAGAGAATGATGTGATCAAGGGAGCATTTGCTTGGCGATAGAATGATTCGGTAGAGAAGAGGGACTTGACGATGCAAGAGGAGGGGTTCACTTGCATATATTATGGGTTGGCTGTGAAATTCATCTATTTTTGTTTGTTTGTTCATTTGTTTTAGACAGAGTCTTGCTCTGTTGCCCAGGCTGGAGTGCAGTGGCACGATCTCGGCTCACTGGAAGCTCCACCGCCCGGGTTCAAGTGATTCTCCTGCCTCAGCCTCCCGAGTAGCTAGGACTCCACCTCGCCCGGCTAATTTTTTGTATTTTTAGTAGAGACAGGGTTTTACCATGTTAGCCAGGATGGTCTCGGTCTCCTGACCTCATGATCCGCCCACCTCAGCCTCCCAAAGTGCTGGGATTGCAGGTGTGAGCCATCGCACCCGGTCCGAAATTCATGTATTTTAAGGGGCAAACAGTAATTGTCTTGGTTGAAGCAAAGGGAATAAGGAATTTTCTAAATAGACTAAGAGCAAAATCCAAGTGCTTGAGAAAGCACAGCATACTTGGGGGATGGCAAGCACTTATTTGGGCTGAAATGGAGTTTCCTTTTAAGCTAGCGACAAAAGTGGTTGACTAGATCAAGAAATACCACAGTATTACGCCACCGTGTTTAGAATTTATTCTGAAGACAGGATCCTCTGAAGAATTTAAAACTAGGAAAATAATTTGTTTTTTTGAAACGGAGTCTTGCTCTGTCACCCAGGCTAGAGCGCAGTGGTGCCATCTCTGCTCACTACAACCTCCGTCTCCCAGGTTCAAGTGATTCTCCCGCCTCAGCCTCCTGAGTAGATGGAGCTACAGGGGCCCACCACCACACCCAGCTAATTTTTGTATTTTTTTTTAGTAGAGATGGAGTTTCACCATGCTGGCCAGTCTGATCTTGAACTCCTGACCTCAAGTGATCCGCCCACCTTGGCCTCCCAAAGTGCTGGGATTACAGGCCTGAGCCACCGCACCCAGCAGAAAATAAATTTTTGAGCATTTTTTAAACATAAGATAAAGGAATATAGATTTGGAGACTGACAAAACTGGTGGCAGGAGGCCGGGCGCGGTGGCTCACGCCTGTAATCCCAGCACTTTGGGAGGGTAAGGTGGACTGATCACTTGAGGTCAGGAGTTCGAGCTTGGCCAACATGGCAAAATCCCTTCTCTACTAAAAATGCAAATATTAACTGGGTGTGGTGGGGCCTGGCTGTAATCCCGGCTACTGGGGAGGCTGCAGCAGGAGAATCACTTGAGCCTGGCAGGAGGAGGTGGCAGTGAGCCAAAGTTGTACCACTGCACTCTTGCCTGGGTGACAGAGTGAGACCCCATCTCAAAAAACAAACACAAAAACTGAAGGCAGGAAAACCAATGAAGAAGCTCTTATAATAGTCCAGGTGAGAGATGATAAGGGTCTAACTGAAGATTTTTCAGTAGGTATTAAAGAGGATGATACTGTTTTGACAGCTATTCATGAAGTAAACTCAACAACAAAATACTGATTTCTGATCAGAATCAGGAGTTAGGGAGAACTAAGGTATCAAACACGAGTCAAGTTTTTTTGTGCTTTTTTTTTTTGTTGTTGTTGTTGTTGTTGTTGTTGTTGCTGTAGAGGCCAGAGATACGGGGAATACAGGATTAGGTGAGGTTGATTATTCCTTTTGTTTTGGATGTTTATAGCATCACCTTTGTGATGATCCATTGAAGATGTATAGTAGTCAGATACATAGATCTGGAATATAAATTCAGTGCCTGGCTTGGAAATAATTACTTGAACAAGGCACCAACATGAAATCCCAGTGGTCAGTGAGCTTCTCAGTGAGAATGAATTAAGAGAGAGGAAAAAAAAAAGTCTTAATGACAGCTTGACCAAAAAAAAAATTTATGAGGCAGCAGTTTCAAACTATAGCATAACAGTCTTTGTGGATACAACCATTTTTAAAAAATCTCAACCCTATTTTGTGTTCTGTTATTGTTGTTTTGAGATAGGGCCTCTCTCTGTTGTCCAGGCTGTAGTGCAGTGGCAAGATTATGGCTCACTGCAGCCTCAATCTCCTGGGCTCAAGCAGTCCTCATACCTCAGCCTCTGAAGTAGTTGGGACTATAGGCACACACCACCACATGCAGCTAATTTTAAAAAATTGTTTTGTAGAGATGAGGTCTCACATTGTTGCCCAGGCTGGTCTTGAACTCCTGGGCTCAAGTAAGCCTCTCATCTTGGCCTCCCGAAGTGCTGGAATTATAGGCGTGAGCCCCTGTGCCTGGTGCCTTTATCCATTTTTAGCCTGTTTCTTTTAAGTGTCTTTAAAATATGTTTATTATTGAAACTGAAATTTTTTCTTTATGACAAATTTGAAAATTGAACATGTAATTGATCTTTTTCTCTTTATTAAGATTGAAGAGTTGGAGGAGAAACTTAATGACGCACTTCACCAGAAGCAGCTACTAACATTGAGATTAGACAACCAATTGGCTTTTCAACAGAAAGATGCCAGGTAAGAAACGGTTTTTTAAAAAAACGATATCTAGTTAGCAATTAAAAGTAATTTTATTGCCTGTTCATGTTTGTGATTGTAAGCTAAAATAGAGAAATTTTAAGTCAGAGATAGCAATAATTTTTACACCTAGACCACAAAAAAAGTAGGATACTTGATACAATGCATAAAATACAGAAAGTCAAAATTCAACATTCATTCAACAAACAATTGGTCAGTATAAACCATATATGATAAAGGAAGCTCTCTGAACTGACCACCATTAACCTTTCTTCTTTTACTCAACATACTGATTGATTCTCATGGCCCTTTGGGCTTTCCTGGCTTGAAGTACTTTCTATTATTCCTGCATACTTTCTCTAGCTCAGTTGTGGGCTTATCAAGCTTAAATATGCCTATGGCAATTATACTTATGTAATGTAATTAAAAATTATATAAACAATCAAATTCTTTGGAAAGGTTCAATAAAAGGAACTAAAAAAATTATGAAATTAAATATGGCTGGGCGCGGTGGCTCAAGCCTGTAATCTCAGCACTTTGGGAGGCCGAGACGGGCGGATCACGAGGTCAGGAGATCGAGACCATCCTGGCTAACACGGTGAAACCCTGTCTCTACTAAAAAATACAAAAAACTAGCTCTGCGAGGTGGCGGGCGCCTGTAGTCCCAGCTACTCGGGAGGCTGAGGCAGGAGAATGGCGTGAACCCGGGAGGCGGAGCTTGCAGTGAACCGAGATCGCGCCACTGTACTCCAGCCTGGGCGACAGAGCGAGACTCCGTCTCAAAAAAAAAAAAAAAAGAGAGATTAAATATAAGCAACACAAGTTTTAAGATTGAGAGCAAATATCAAATCCATAAAAGATACCTTCATTGGTTTCTTCCTAAGTATCTTTTAGGATCTCATGCCATTGTAAAGAAATTGAACTTGGATTTACACAAAATCAAAGCATACCTCTGTATTCAAAGTATCTGGATCCTATGTAAAAATGTGAATGTTTAGTTCTGTGTTTTAGTTACAGGTAAATGTGTAAAATAGGTATGTTTTCCCTTTTTAAGATTTTACTAAACTAATATTGTAAAAAATTATCAGACCTTTTTATCAGCCACTATTACATTAGATTAGTGGACCTCAAACTTTAGTATGTATCAGAAACACTTGGAGGGCTTGTTAAAAAAGACTACTGGATCCCACCCTCAGAGTTTCTGATTTGGGAGGGGTCCTGAGAATTTGCATTTTTACCGGGTTCCCAGGTGATGCGGATGGTGCTGGTCCAGGAACAATACTTTGAGAACCACTGTATTCGATTATAGGTCTTCTACTCTAATTCTATAAGACACCTATCAGATTCAGTGATGCTGTTGAGAGGGCAGTTAGGAGTCTATTGTAATAAGATATCTGATGGTGGTTAAAAAAAAAAAAAGAAAGGTTGGATTCTGAGTATATTTTGGAGGCAGAGCTGATGGATTCAGTGTGAGGCTTAAGAGAAAAGGGGGAATCAAGGATTACATCAAAAATTTTGGCCTGAACAAATGAAAAAATGGAATTTCTGTCAGCTAAGAAGGAGCAAATCATGGTAGAAAAAGTTTTTGTGAGTAAAAAGCAGGAGTTCAGTTTGGGACATGTTAAGTTAGAGTTTTCTTGTTAGAAATCCATGTGGAGGTATATGAAAAGTCTGGTCTAGAGGTACAAATCTGGGGATCATTAGGGTATAGACAGTATTCAAGTCATGAGACTAGATGAATTCCCCAAGGAAGAGTGCATACAGACAGAGAAGAGGACCAAGTACTCCAACATGAAGACAGAGCAGAAAAGGAGACTGAGAAGGAACCACAGTAAAATAGAAGAAAAATGAACAATATGGTGTCTTGGAAGCCAAGTGATGAAAATGTTTCAAGGAAAGAAAAATGAATTGTATCAAACTCTATCATTAGATCATGGATGAAAAGAGCTAAGAACTGATCATTTGCAATTTAGATGTCATTGTGATTTCATTAGAGACAGTAAAAATATGATCATCATGGGTTTAAGAGGAAAGGCTTTGGAGACAATAAGTATAGACAACTTTTGAGCAAGTTTGCTCCAAGGGGTGGCTAACAAAGGGGGAAGTACAATGAGGTCAAGAGTTGTGGTTGTGTTTGTTCATTTGTTTTAAGATTGAAATAACAGCATGTTTGTTAATGGGATTGATACAGTAGGGAAGGGGAAAATCAGTGATGTGATTTGACTGTGTCCCCACCCAAATCTCATCTTGAATTATAGCTCCCATAATTCCTACATGTCATGGGAGGGACCTGATGGGAGGTAATTGAATCATGGAGGTGGTCTTTCCCATGCTGTTCTTGTGATAGTGAATAAGTCTCACAAGATCTGATGGTTTTATAAATGGGAGTTCCCCTGCACAAGCACTCTTGTCTGCCACCATGTAAGATGTGCCTTTGCTTCTCCTTTGCCTTCCGCCATGATTGTGAGGCCTCCCCTGCCACGTGGAACTCTGAGTCCATTAAACCTCTTTCCTTTATAAATTACCCAGTCTTGGGTATGTCTTTTATTAGCAGCATGAGAACAGATTAATAATGTCAGATTGTCCCTTCATGATCACAGTCTTTCAGTAGACAACTAACAATAATGTCTGCTACATGTATTCTTTGAGAATGATGAGTATGTGCAGATTACTGTTTTCATCACCTCATTGGTTGAGTGAATACTTTATGGTGGTTCAGTGTTACCATCTTAAAGAGGTATCCTTGAAGCATCAGGATAAAAGGGAAATGAAAATTAGTAAGTAAAGTCCTTGATGTTTAACATTAAACCTTAAGCAGAAAAAATGCATAATTTTATGATTTGAATTTCTAAAGTTATTCTTTAAGAATATCAATTCTCTGTTTAGTAATTTATATGGCTACATATTTAATAATTAGTATGGAGTTGTCATTTCATATTTAACTGGTTACTATGAGTAAGCATTTTGCTGGAGTAAGTAAATAATACTGTCAGGCTTCTCATTTCCTAATTTTATGTTGATATAAATAGGAAACTGTGAGAAAATTAAATCTCAAAGACTTTTTCAAAGCCTGCCATAAATTCTCTCTAATGTAGCAAATATCAAGAATTAATGAAACAAGAAATGGAAACCATTTTGTTGAGACAGAAACAACTGGAAGAGACAAATCTTCAGCTAAGAGAAAAAGCTGGAGATGTTCGTCGAAATCTGCGTGACTTTGAGTTGACAGAAGACCAGTATATTAAGTTAAAAGCTTTTCCTGAAGATCAGCTTTCTATTCCTGAGTATGTATCTGTAAGTATCATCCATTTTTAACTACAGCATATATTTTCAGACTAGAATTTACCATTTATGTAGTAGCAATTACTTTTGAAGTACCCAATTGATACATTATTTTATGGCTATGGATGGTGAATGGTCTTGAGATCCAAATTTTAAAGGATCATGACCATTGATCTCCAAAGTCAAGCATAAATAGGTTTTGAAGTTAATGACTGCATAGTCCATAGAAATGAATTATCATGAACTGGTGGTTTCTTACATTCTCAAAATGAAAAATTATAAACAACAGAGTAGTTATTGCCAGGGGTTGGTTGGGGATAGTGGGAGAGAGGAGTTGGCGTGATTATAAAGGGATAGGATGAGAAAGAACTTTGTGGTGAGAGATTGGCTCAAGATCTTGAGCTGGTTACACAAATCTGGAACAGCTAAGATTAATCAATGGCAGTGGTCTCAAATATTTTGGTGTCAGCATTCATTTACACTCTAAAAATTATTGAGGACCCCAATGTGTGTTTTTTTATATGAGCTGTGTCTATTAGTATTTACCATACTAGAATTTTAAACTAATACATTTTTTAAACACAAGAATATATAAGTACACAATTCCATTGGCCTTAAGAGTGATAATGTCATCATATATCATGTAGCCACTGGCAAACTCCACTGAACAGTCATGAGAGAATGAAAATGAAACAGGGAAAAAATCTTAATAATTACTAGGAAAGTTGTTTTGATCTTGTGAATTCCCTGAAAGGATCTCAGAGTGGCGGGCAGGCCAGAGTCCAGAAGTCCCAAAACCATATATTGAGAACTGCTGCTTTTTAATATATAGATGTCATTTTACCCTAAGAGGCTTGAATTTTTTCATCTGTAAAAAGGAATAACAGTGCCTTTCTTTTGGGGATAATTGTAAAGACTATGACTGTGTATGTAAAATGTTTATGAGCATAGTGCTTATAAGATAGTAAACACATAAAAATGTTACCTATTGTTTTTCCTCTAGTGGTGGTTGCTATTCTTGGTTCTCATTGGGAAAAGATTTTCAGATTAGTGATGTCTGATAAAATGAAGTTCCTTTTTTGTTCAGCTGTTTTTTTTCTTTTTAAGGCTCAAATACAGTTTTTCTATCCAAAGTGTACTGTCCAAAACAAATACCTCAAATTCTGTTTTTGAGGCTTCATTTACAGTAGATATAGAGTATCACACTGGTGGCAGTTACACATATTTTTGCTGTTTGTTTTCTTAATATTCCTTCTTACATGTTTTCTTTTCACAAACAATATTATCGTTAACTAATTTAATTATATGCAGATTCGTTTTGTTGAAGGCTAATATTAAGATTTGCCTCTTACCAAATAATGGTATTCTTGTAATACAGTCATATGTTAAGGAGTTTCGGACTGCATGCCTATATGAGAAATAGCCCCTAATTACTCTCTCCTAATTTGCTGATGATTTCTTAGTTTTATAGGACCTTGTCAGATGGAACACTTTTTTTTCCTGAGATAGGGCAGGAAAATTCCTCTGAGAGAAGTATATGTGTAAAGAGAGACCTGAATTAAATGGAAGTAGTGACGTGAAAGATACTTCTTGTTCCATTCTGATTAGACTTCCACTGCAGGGACAGCAGTAAATAAAGCTTTGCCAAGAGCCTGGGATGAAAATAAAGAAAACGCTTTACCTCTTCATCAAGTATTTATTGAGTGCTTATCATATTTTTAGGCACTGGAAATAGAGCAGTGTATAAACCAGACAGAAATCCCTGCCCTCATGAAGCTTATGTCGAAGTGGAGCAACACAGCCATTAACTTAAAAGTTAAATATGTAGAATATCTGTTTGTCAAAGGTGCTATAGAGAAAAGAGCATGGGTGAGAAATAGGTAGTGCTACTTTAAATTTGGTAGGGAAATCAGGGAGGGCTTTAATAGTAAGGTGATATTTGGTCAGAGACCTATAGGGAGACAAGGCATGAGCCATGCATTTATATGGGGGAAGAACTTCTCTAGCAGAAGAAACAGCAAGAGCAAGACTCCTGAATATTTGTGATATGTTCCGGAAGTTTACAAGCAGATAGTGTGGAGTGAGCAGTAGTAGATGAGTAGTAATGGAGTGTCAGTAGAAGGGAGGAAGGACTGTCAAAGATAGGAAGTTATAAATCATCTGGCCCTTGAGGGAAGTTAATTGAACATTAAGGCTTGATAGAAAGTATTAGTGGCTAGGTTCCATTAATGACTGTCTTGTTGTAGTTTTGTAAGCATGTCTCTTTATTACTGATAAGTGAGAGCACTACAAATTAGCAAATTTTAATCGTAATTTGGATTTAAGACTGCTTATTAATTTAATTTCTTTTTCAAGGTTCGGTTCTATGAACTAATGAATCCATTAAGAAAGGAAATCTGTGAACTACAAGTGAAAAAGAATATCCTAGCAGAAGAATTAAGTACAAACAAAAGCCAGCTGAAACAGCTGACAGAGGTTTGTATGGTTTTGATTGCTAGTGGGAAGAAGCTTCAACTTTTTCTATAGAGTCCCTGGGGTTGGTTGGGGATAGTGGGAGAGAGGAGTTGGCGTGATTGTAAAGGGATAGGATGAGAAAGAACTTTGTGGTGAGAGATTGGCTCAAGATCTTGAGCTGGTTACACAAATCTGGAACAGCTAAGATTAATCAATGGCAGTGGTCTCAAATATTTTGGTGTCAGCATTCATTTACACTCTAAAAATTATTGAGGACCCCAATGTGTGTTTTTTTATATGAGCTGTGTCTATTAGTATTTACCATACTAGAATTTTAAACTAATACATTTTTTAAACACAAGAATATATAAGTACACAATTCCATTGGCCTTAAGAGTGATAATGTCATCATATATCATGTAGCCACTGGCAAACTCCACTGAACAGTCATGAGAGAATGAAAATGAAACAGGGAAAAAATCTTAATAATTACTAGGAAAGTTGTTTTGATCTTGTGAATTCCCTGAAAGGATCTCAGAGTGGCGGGCAGGCCAGAGTCCAGAAGTCCCAAAACCATATATTGAGAACTGCTGCTTTTTAATATATAGATGTCATTTTACCCTAAGAGGCTTGAATTTTTTCATCTGTAAAAAGGAATAACAGTGCCTTTCTTTTGGGGATAATTGTAAAGACTATGACTGTGTATGTAAAATGTTTATGAGCATAGTGCTTATAAGATAGTAAACACATAAAAATGTTACCTATTGTTTTTCCTCTAGTGGTGGTTGCTATTCTTGGTTCTCATTGGGAAAAGATTTTCAGATTAGTGATGTCTGATAAAATGAAGTTCCTTTTTTGTTCAGCTGTTTTTTTTCTTTTTAAGGCTCAAATACAGTTTTTCTATCCAAAGTGTACTGTCCAAAACAAATACCTCAAATTCTGTTTTTGAGGCTTCATTTACAGTAGATATAGAGTATCACACTGGTGGCAGTTACACATATTTTTGCTGTTTGTTTTCTTAATATTCCTTCTTACATGTTTTCTTTTCACAAACAATATTATCGTTAACTAATTTAATTATATGCAGATTCGTTTTGTTGAAGGCTAATATTAAGATTTGCCTCTTACCAAATAATGGTATTCTTGTAATACAGTCATATGTTAAGGAGTTTCGGACTGCATGCCTATATGAGAAATAGCCCCTAATTACTCTCTCCTAATTTGCTGATGATTTCTTAGTTTTATAGGACCTTGTCAGATGGAACACTTTTTTTTCCTGAGATAGGGCAGGAAAATTCCTCTGAGAGAAGTATATGTGTAAAGAGAGACCTGAATTAAATGGAAGTAGTGACGTGAAAGATACTTCTTGTTCCATTCTGATTAGACTTCCACTGCAGGGACAGCAGTAAATAAAGCTTTGCCAAGAGCCTGGGATGAAAATAAAGAAAACGCTTTACCTCTTCATCAAGTATTTATTGAGTGCTTATCATATTTTTAGGCACTGGAAATAGAGCAGTGTATAAACCAGACAGAAATCCCTGCCCTCATGAAGCTTATGTCGAAGTGGAGCAACACAGCCATTAACTTAAAAGTTAAATATGTAGAATATCTGTTTGTCAAAGGTGCTATAGAGAAAAGAGCATGGGTGAGAAATAGGTAGTGCTACTTTAAATTTGGTAGGGAAATCAGGGAGGGCTTTAATAGTAAGGTGATATTTGGTCAGAGACCTATAGGGAGACAAGGCATGAGCCATGCATTTATATGGGGGAAGAACTTCTCTAGCAGAAGAAACAGCAAGAGCAAGACTCCTGAATATTTGTGATATGTTCCGGAAGTTTACAAGCAGATAGTGTGGAGTGAGCAGTAGTAGATGAGTAGTAATGGAGTGTCAGTAGAAGGGAGGAAGGACTGTCAAAGATAGGAAGTTATAAATCATCTGGCCCTTGAGGGAAGTTAATTGAACATTAAGGCTTGATAGAAAGTATTAGTGGCTAGGTTCCATTAATGACTGTCTTGTTGTAGTTTTGTAAGCATGTCTCTTTATTACTGATAAGTGAGAGCACTACAAATTAGCAAATTTTAATCGTAATTTGGATTTAAGACTGCTTATTAATTTAATTTCTTTTTCAAGGTTCGGTTCTATGAACTAATGAATCCATTAAGAAAGGAAATCTGTGAACTACAAGTGAAAAAGAATATCCTAGCAGAAGAATTAAGTACAAACAAAAGCCAGCTGAAACAGCTGACAGAGGTTTGTATGGTTTTGATTGCTAGTGGGAAGAAGCTTCAACTTTTTCTATAGAGTCCCTCAAGATTTGTGATAAGGAATATAAAAGTCAGTGATTGAAAAATGGGACTATGGGATGGTGACTGCTACAGTTCTTAAGTAATGGGAAGGAGGTTAAATTGGAAGTAGTCATCTTAAAAATTGACAAGACAAGTCTATGATATTGACGTATCCCATAGTTGAGCTTTTATTGTTGCAAGTCATTTTTATAATCAACTGCTTTTGAAATCCTAATATGGGCTATACCTGAAAATTGCTGTATATACTCAGATGATGCATATGCACGTAAGTATTTAATAATTTGTCTCTATTTTTAACATCACTTTGTCAGGAAATTTAGGCAAGAAACAAGAAATGTAGGCCAACGTATGTAGGGGATCTCTTGCGGGTGCCATAAGAAAGAAGAAAAAGAGAATACTTTTACTTTGAACTAAAGTGCCTCATAGGTTCTGGTTTGCCTAAGACAGCTGCCATTATTCCTGTGAATAAATATTAATAGCACCCCTTTATTTTCAAAAGTATCTCAGCCTAGACAATGAATATGGTAATCATAAATCAACATTTACATAGAAGGGTGGACTAATCATTAACTTGATTATATTATTGACCAGATATCCTAGATTACTCTTGTATTTATAGTCTACTAACAAAAAAATAATGGTAGATTGATTCATTCTACCATGTAACAGTTGGAAATGGGTGGCTGTTTTTCTTCAAAGATTTCATTCTTCTAAAAGGAAAACTCTTGTAGTTTACAAATGAGGTCTGCTGTAGTTCTCCATTACAAGTTAGCCTTGTTTGTGATATGAGATGGAGCTACTGTCCTTTTATTACTTACGTGGCTTCTTTGTCAAGTGCAGTTAACTCTCATAATATTTATTCTGAGCATGTGTACTGATACTAACATTAACCCCAGTGATGTGCATGGTGCTGTGCTAGGTGCTTGCAGTGAACCCAAGAGAGGCAATGCCTGCCCTTCTAGAGTTTACTTTCTAGCAGGTTAGAATTAGAACATTAGATGATATTTTGACACTCTCATTTACTGTGTGACCATAACCAGGTCATATAATGTTAACTGTTCTATCAAATGGAGAAAATAATACTGTTTGTTCATTTATTTAATTGCATTGCCTATGTTTCCCTTTCAGAGTAAAAACGTGATTTTAGCAAAGTTGCATACAAACATTTATGTCCTATTTTAAGGGCAGTTTTTATCAATGATATTATCCAGAAATAGATAATTATAATTTAATTTGTATTTTTAATGCTCTACTTTGCTGCACTATTAGTCCTAGAGAGAATTTACTTAAGTCTTGCCGTAGATTCAATATTACAGACCAAACAAGAAGGCTCAGCTTCCTTCCTCTCCTCTGAGGAGCTGTGATATCAGCAGGAGCAATTAGAGGGGCAGATGTGCCCCCCACTCGAAACTTCAGTTGTTTTCTTTTCTTCTCTTAGCATGTCATATTGTGCAGGTAAACTGTTTTGCACATTTAGAAAGATAGTTCAATTTTTTTAAAAAAATTCAACTGTAGTCAAAATAGTAGAGAACAGAGAAGGCCTCAGTTTGGCCACTTTGTGATTTTGCAGCCTTGGGCAAATCATTTATACTCTATTGCAGGATGGTTTTGGTGGTACAGGGGTTATTGGGGAAGAGGCAGTTAGACGAGGTTTTAGAGTTGGTTCTACACACCTTATAGTACCTCAGCATCCCTCAAGGACTTCTTATTGTGTAGTAGGAGGGCTGGAGGAGCTCTCTATCCTTGTTTTTATCAAGCCACCCTTTTTAAAATAACTTTAATATTTGGGATTTCTCAAGAAGCGTGATTTCTCTTGAACACAGATAACTCAGACCATCCTTAGAGTTTGTGGTTTTTCTGCTCTGTCAAGGACCTGGTACAGGTCAACTTGCCAAACACTAGAAAAAAGGTAAATATTTTTAAATAAAAATATTTTTAAATAAAAAGCAAAGCCAGTATCATTAAACAGCTTTATTTATTTATTTAAACAGGAGTCTTGCTCTGTCACCCCCGCTGGAGTGCAGTGGTGCCATCTCTGCTCATTGCAACCTCCACCTCCTGGGTTCAAGTGATTCTTGTGCTTCAGCCTCCCAAGTAGCTGGGCTTACAGGCATGCGTCACCACGCCTGGCTAATTTATGTATTTTTAGTAGAGATAGAATTTCGCCATTTTGGCCAGACGGGTCTGGAACTCCTGGCCTCAAGAGATCCACTGCCTCAAGAGATTGGCCTCCCAAAGTGCTGGGATTACAGGCGTGAGCCACCGCACCTGGCCAAACAGGATGTAGTAAACAATAAATAGTAGTACTCAATATTAAAATAAATGTCACATATTCTGGAGTTTATTTTTTGAAATGGTTCGTTAAATTATTTACTGCTATTTATTTGAGGAATTAAAAGACAGTTTCTCGTCTCTGCAACATAACAATTAAAAAAAAATTCAACTGTAGTCAAAATAGTAGAGAACACAGTCCTGTCTCCCATCTTAACAGCTTCTCCCTCCGTAAAATAGGGATGATAACACGTAATACCTACCACACATCATTATTATAAAGAATGAAATTCTTTCAATAAATGTTTATCCTGCATTTACTATACGGCATGCATTATTCTTGGTACTTGGGATACCTTGTTAAACAAAGCAGTAATCCCTGCTATCATGGAGTTTATATTTTTAAAGGATATCTGTGAGATGTGTATTGTATTTTAAAAGGG